AAGAGTTAACCAAAGATGAATGGTCATATGTAGTGCCGTGTTCTAGGAAAGGGCGTACTTTCCTAGAATACAAAATGATGATTTGATGAATGGTGAACAAAATGCAACCCTGCAAAAGTCTCCCAGCCACAGCTTTTATCTACTCTTCAAATAGGAACTATGAATCCAGGAGGAGCTCCCAGATTGTATACTGATATTATGTATATCAGTATATAAGTCAGCTAAGTGACTTTGGATCAATCACTTTCTTTCAACCCAAGCCACCTCACAGGTGGGAGAAGAGGAAGGTGTGTTGGATATGTTTGCTGCCTTGAGTTATTTATAAAAATAATAAAGGCAGGATACAAATTAAATAAATACTGGTTTGATCAGGAGTGGTGCAACCATATCTTGAACTAAAGGTGGAATCTTAAAAGACCTGAATGGCCCCAAAATCCATAGACAGTCAGTCTTGCTAGGATTGAACTGAAGACTGTTCCTCTCCAGCTAGTTCTCCATAGTTTTCAGGCATCAGGCACAGGACCTCCATGGTATCATTTGGTTAGCCCAATGTGGAGATATACAGCTGAGTATCATCTGCATGCTGATTATATCTCATCCTGAGCTGTCAAATTACCTTACTTAGTAGCTTCATGTAGTTGTTAAATAGAGCAGGGAGAGTATTGATTCCCACAACACCCCATAAAGGATAATAAACTTGGTTTGTTATGTTACGGAAGACTTTAATGGCTGTTGAAATTTTGGGAGATGCAATATTAGGAATGACTTTTCATGTGTAGTCTATAATTTATTGTAGTATGTATGCTCTAGTACAGGGCTTTTCAACCTTTTCACAGATTGTACCACTTTTAGGACAAAATGATATTTGAGTACTGCCAGTGCTTAGCAAGGTGTCAAAAACTTGATAACTAAAAAAAAGGGGGCGAGATTTTATTGGTTAGATTCGTTTGTTATAGAAATGGCTAGTTTATACTATTATGGAAAAGTAAAAAGTTGAGGTTCAATGTTAATGCTTCATTCTACTGCAACAGAGAAAGTCGGAAGTCAATGCCTTTTTTTTTCTCCTTCTCCCCCTCATTTTTCCCTTCTTCCTCCCCACTGTGTCCTACTCTTTGCTTTTGTAATTTTGTATTTTATTCCATAATCTAATAAAATGTTACAAACCGTAAAAAAAAGGAAAAGCACCAGTTTTAATTTCTTCGGTGGCGGTTCCTTTGCTGCCCAGAGCCCTGGGCAATGGAGGGCAAGTGCCCAGCTCAGCTTAGCCTTCCCCAAGGGGGTGCCTGGCTGAGCTTACCTTCTCCTTGAGGCTGCTGCTGCTTGGCTCGCTCTCCTTGGCCAGGTTGCTCATGGTGTGTGCAGGAGGGCAAAATGTGTGGGTCAAAGGGAGGCCCACTCCCTCTCCATGTGAGGAGACCCAGCTTTGTAACCAAAGCATCCTCAGCAATAGGATGGGAGAGCACCAGGAGAGTCAGGAGGAGGGGACAAGGGGATGGCAAAAGGACAGCATGGCTGGTCGTGGCCAAGTCCGTCCTTCCTTCCTTCCTTCCTTCCTTCCTTCCTTCCTTCCCCTTTTTTTTAAACTGTGAGAGGCTTCGGGCAGAGGTGGAAGCAGACAGGCAGCAGTGGGCAGAGACTTCACATTTTGACCCCTCCCTCCTGTCGTTGCCTCTGCGTGGCTCTCAGTTCACCTCTTCCAGACTTGTGCACGTGCTTGGGTGTGCGTATGCGGGTGGGTGGGTGGGGGAGGGTCTCACCCTTTGCAGCCCCATGCCCTCAAAAAAGACCTTCTGCAATGACCGGCTGCAAACTAATGAATGTTTTTTTGAAGTACTTGTTTCTTTTTCTCAACATGCCACTGATCGCATTACGTCCAGCCCCCTCTGCTCCTACCCCCAGCCCCATGGAAGACTGCAAGAAGCTCCCATCGAAGCTTCTCTTATCTCTCCCGTTCTTTTCCTCCCCAATGTCAGTGTGGGGCTGCAAGGAGTGAGACCCCCCACATGCGTGCACACACACACACACACACACACAAACAAACAAACACATGCACGGGTCTGGGAGAGTTGAGCTGAGAGCCATGCAGAGGCAACAACGGGAAGGGGTCAAAATGGGAAGCCTCCTGCCCGTAGTCTCTGGCAGCTTAAAAAAATGAACCTGTGAAGCGCTCAGAAGGCAGTCCCTTTCCCAGCTCGCTCCTTCCTTCCTTCCTTCCTTCCTTCCTTCCTTCCTTCCCTCCCTCCCTCCCTCCCTCCCTCCCTCCCTCCCCCCCCTGCTTCTCTTTCCTTCCTCCACGCTCAGGAAGGTATGACGGGAGGGGGAGAGATTGCAGCACTGCTGGTGGCCATGCTGCCGTTGGCCATAGCTATCCCATGCAGGCAGGGGCGGTGTTGTGACCTGTCGGCCACTGGAGGACTCTGCGGCCAACTCAGAGGAGGAAGCACAGGAGTGAGCGTTGGCCCCAGCGTCAGGGCCATTTGAAAGCTCCAGTGGGTACGAAGGAATGGAGCTGTTGCAGCCAGGGACAGAGACGGAGCCTGGGCTGTCCACCAGCCCCCAGATGGAAAGGCTGATACCTCCATGCCTTGAGGCAAGTGATTCAGGAGAGGAGGATCACATGGGGCCAGTAATGGATGTTCGGACACGGCGGAGGCTGAGAAGAGGAGAATAGTGAGAGGCTATGCACCGGTCTTCAGGGCAGAAGAGTGACCGCTGCTAACAGAGCCCCACCCTCAGCTGTGGATAAAAGGCAGGGGCGGAGACGAATAGGCGTGGCAGACAACTATTCATCTCCCTGACAGTCTGCCACTTCTATTTGGAATTCCTGACTCTGGTTTGTAAACTTGCCGGAGTTTTCCTCAGATCCTATGGCGCTGGGAGTCGGAGTGCCTTCTGAATGTGTGCATGCTAGAAAATAGCCAGCTTGCCTGAAGGACTCTTGCTGCAAGCGTGGTGAGAGACTGAAATTAACTCTGGGTTTTGGGAGACCCCTGCAGGGGAAAAGGGAGCGAGCTCCATTGTTTGGAGGCAACTAAAGATTTTAATGGTCAGCTAGGTGAAGCTGCTGGCGTTCCTGAATAAAAGGAATGTTAGAGATTTGTTGGCGTGTCTGTTATATTTGGGGAGTCATGTCAGAACAGGCAGTCCCATTGAAAGGGAAGCCTGGTGGCTGCGAGGCTAGGTCAGCGAGCAGGCAAGGCGCTGATCTACTGGTGGGGGCCATCAAAGCTGGAACGCGCTCAGCCTTAGATCCACGGGGCAGCCATGGAGCCAGCGAGTCTCCCTGCCATCTCTGGCCCACCCCCTGGGGGTGCACAGAGAACGTGGGGGAAAGGGAAGCACTTCTCTTGCCTTTTTTCTTTTTCAGGGGTCAGCAGAGATGGTCAGCAGGGATGCCGGGCGCTTGCCGCCTCCTCTTTGCGTGCACAGGAGACAGGGTGAGGGCAGCCCCTCGCTGGCCCTTTCCTACCAAAACCTCCTTTTATATCCTCTCCTCTCTACCCCTCCTTTTCTCTTCAGGACACCTCCAGCTTCTGGAAGTGCCGATCAGCTGGAGCCCGGCGCTGATCTTGGGGCCTCTGCCAAGCCCCGACAGCCCTGCAGCTCCAGCTGTCTCTCCCTCAGGCTTGTGTGGTGCTGCCACCGCTTCAGCTCATTCTTCTTTCCCCTGCTACCACTTCTCTAGGACGGTCGCACACCACCTGCCAGGTGCCAAAGTACCACCAGTGTTATGTGTACCACCAGTAGTACATGACCCCTAGCCAAGTGTAACGGGGGAAGGAATGAGCTAAAGCAGCGCCGCGCAGAACTGGAAGAGATCAGCTGGAGCTGCAGGGCTCGGCGGAAGCCCCAGGATCTGTGTGTGCAGCTGCCTGCCGATTGGAACTTCCGGTGCACTCAGAAGAGAAAAGGAGGAGGAGAGGGCTGAGAGAGGAGAAGCAATAAAAGGAACAAGTTTTGGAGGGAGAGAGAGAGAAACACGGAGAAATGGAAGAGAAGAGGCTTTTGTTAGTGAAGCGGTGAGAGAGTGTGAGGGGCTTTTGCGAGCAAAGTGAGTGAGTGAAAGTGAGCCAGGGGGCTTTTGCGAGCAGAGTGTGAGTGAGTGAAAGAGCGAGAGAGGGAGAGGCTTTTGCAAGCAAAGTGAGTGAGTGAAAGCAAGTGAGGCTTTTGCGAGCAAAGTGTGAGTGAAAGCGAGAGTGAGCGAGGGGCTTTTGTGAGCAAAGAGTGATGAAAGCGAGAGAGGGCTTTTGTGAGCAAAGTGAGTGAATGAGTAGCATTAGAATAATTATGATGTATCTTAGTTTTTCTGCATCTCCTTTGGGGAAAAATAGATACTCTTGCTGAGATGTAAACCTTTGGTTACATCTTTTTTAAGATAACCTTATTAAGCAGATAATTGTTCAGTAGAAAGTTGTCTAATGGATATGTTACAATTGTATTTCAGCAATGCAGTTGATTACAAAGTTCCTGTACAATAATTTGCAAATAATGATTGGATTTATTTATATAAGGTATTTCTATATACCCAGGTTAAACTCAGTCCTGGTGGTTTATGTAAAATGCAAAGTCAACATAAAATCAACATAATATACTTCCAGCTGTAGGAAGAAATAGATGCCTACATAATCAGTTGCCAGTATTTAATCCTAGAATACTTGCATAAATAAAACAGTCTTGAACATTTGCCAAAAGCTAATAAGGAAGGAGCCAGGTTATTCTCTTGCTCAAAGTGTTTCATAATATGGGGGCAATAACGGAAAAAGACTGCTTAAGGAATGGGGTCCGCTTGCATTCATGTAGATGTGGGATACTGAAATTGCCTGCCTGCAAACTTATTAGACTAGGTGGATTCTACCTGGAGCAAGGTATCTTAAAGCCAAACTATGAATCTATGCTACACATATCTAACTATTTATACAGCCTATTGGCTGTTTGATCTGTGTTTTTTTAAAAAATGATATTTTTGTGATCCATATCTAATTTTTTCTTTACTAGGTTTAAAATAGCACTATGGCTCATTCAAAGACAAGAGCCAATGATGGAAAAATTACATATCCTCCAGGAGTTAAAGAAATATCTGACAAAATTTCAAAAGAAGAGATGGTACGAAGATTAAAAGTGAGTGGGTAGTGTATTATATATTGTGAAGTTTATTTGAACAGTTCAAAATTGGATATGTGTGAAATTGTTTTATCTTCAAACAAAAAGGTTAATGATGTAAATAACAGTAAGTTGTTGAAGTTTTTCTGATGAGCAGAATTAATTCAATGAAACAAAATTCCTTATAAGAATCTCTTTTTTAGTTGCTTGTTAAATTGAATTGTGACGATCATTTTCCTGCCTAAAATAAGCAGAGCATCTCTTTTGTTTCCGACAACTTTTAAGCTGTCTCGTGCTCTCTATTTTAATGTTTGTTTTGTTCAATATTTCTAAGTAAATATGTTTGATTCCTTGAGCTTTTTTAATTAGATAAGAGAGGAGAAATCAATTATATTATTATATAGATCCTAAAATGTCATAGCTACAGTGGTTCTTGTGAAAGGGAAGTCTTCTGTTGGAGAAGGAAGGAATAGTATACTTCCCATCTCTCGGCTGGGGTTTTGTTTTTTTTTTGGAGGCTGGCAGTTATTCAATTTTGACAATTATAAAATATAATTCTAGGTAAGGAACCAGGAAAACAATAGAACAATAATTGCAGATAATAGGAAAGTTATGATTTAAAGACACGATAGAGCTGTTCAGCAGTGAAACACTGTTTTAGGAAGTATTTAAACATAGGCTGAAGGGGCCATCTATCAGGGATTTGTACTAAGGGATTTCTGTATGGGGCAGTATGTGTGTGGCTGTGATTTTTGTTCTATTGTGGAGTTGTTTGATATAATAAATTGTTTTTTTTAATAAAGTGTGAATATTTGCATAAATGTTAAGAGATGTTCAGTAATTATATTTTTAAATACATAATAACCATAATATTCTAAAGAAATTGATTTGTCAGTGACATTGTGAATTATCAGGACAATATTGGATATGTTGACTATGGACAGCATTCGATTTCAATATAGTAAATATCTTTAGTACTATAGATATTAGCCTAGGACTGGAAGGATACTTCCAACCTCAGCCATTCAGAGTTATTGGTTATTATTGTTGGGGGGAGGGTAGTCCAGTGGTGGGATTGTGAAAGACCGGTTTTCTGTGTGGATGCCACTTCCGGAAGTCCATTCTGGGCCTGGGAAACAAAAAAATTAGCTACCAAAGTGGTGCGAACCAGCTGAATCCCACCACTGGGCTAGTCACTGTTCTCAGTCCAACCCCTATTATAGAGCTTATTATGAGGAAAAACTGAAGTGAGAGTACTATTTCTGCAATGCTGAGAGTGCTGTTTATGCCATGCTAAGTTTCTGGAGGAATATAAATCTTAAATAAAAGTATCACTTTTCTGAAATTGAATGTGACAGTATTTTGGATTCTTCCTCCACCCCATTGATTAAGAGAATCTCCAAATTTGACAAAGAAGCAAAGCAAAATGTTAAAACCCTTTATTGAGTTTGTTTGATAGAGATGAAAGTTTAGATTCCATCAAATTGGGCTGCTTTTTAAAATTTGGATTGAAACTGAATCTCACTGCTGTCTTTCAGGATTGTAGCAAGATGACAAACCTAGATTTTTTTAATATGATGGTTGCTATTAGACTAAAGTGGAATACATTAATACCTTTCATACTATGCTCAGAAGAAATATAATAAATATGGGTATTAAAAAGCAAATTGTCTTCTGAAAACAAATTCTTATTAATACTTTCTGATGCATTTTAGTTTGTTTGTTAAAAAGAATGATTTCAGTCTTTCAGCATTGTTTGCTGTTTCTTTGGATACCGTATGCCAGCGCTTTCCGTGAATAAACCAACCATCTGTGAACTCGACGGCTTGTTTCTTGTTGGAGCCAGGGGTGTGGCAGGGACTTCTGACATTATAGCATCATAAAAAATAACAAACATGATTTTTAAAGCACCAATGCACTTCACTATTCACATTTATTTTTATCTTCAGGTCATAAACTATATTTTTATTGCAGATGTGTATATCAGTTACCTCTCAAAAATACTTATACATCAATGCCTTCAATACTTTTTTAGTTATATATCATTTTATAGTTCCTTATTAAGAAGTACATATTCTGACTGAAGAATTGACGTCTTTGAACTGTGATGCTGGTGTAAATTATTGCATATACCAGTGATGGCAAACCTTTTAGAGACTGAGTGCCCAAACTGCAACCCAAAACCCACTTATGCATCATCGAGTGCTGGGTGGGTGTGGCCCATTGGGCGGGCATGGCTACGTTGGTAACGGCAGACTGGGTGGGACTAAAAAGTTCAATCAATCAATTCCAACTTTGCAATATCTTTTTTTTCCCTGCGAGAAGTTGAAATTGACTGATTGAACCTTTTTTTTTTTTTGCACACGGCGGCGGAGGCCTAAAGCGAAAAGGTTTTATAAAACCCAGCTGAAGGCCTAGGACTGGGGCGATGGCGCGCGTGCCCCCAGAGAGGGCTCTGAGTGCCGCCTCTGGCACCCGTGCCATAGGTTCGCCACCACTAGCATATAACATGAACAGAGTAACTAACAGAAGTGTTAAAACATATAAAACCAGATATGTCACTAGAAGCCAAAATCACAAGATTACGTCTGATTTACTTTGGCCATGTCATGCATGCAAATTCATTGGAGAAGTCAATGATGCTAGAAATGGTTAGTGGATCAAGAAGGGGCAAGCAAAGAACTTGCTGGCTTGATAATATCAAATCTGATACAAGATAAACATCCAACAATTGAAAGAAGCTGTGCTTGAGAGGGTAGCATGGAGTGTACTTGCCTATAAAGTTGCCAAGAATTGGACATGACTAAATGGTTAAAACAACAACAACAACATGTATGTATGTATGTATGTATTTATGTAAGTAGGTATATATGTAAGTATGTATATGAAATGTCTTCTTTATAATTATTGCTAACTTTTGAACATTATTTTGGCAGATGGTTGTAAAAACCTTTATGGATATGGACCAGGACTCTGAAGAGGAAAAAGAGTTGTATCTAAATCTTGCTTTACATCTTGCGTCTGATTTTTTTCTTAAGCATCCTGACAAAGATGTACGCTTGCTTGTTGCATGTTGTCTTGCTGATATTTTTAGAATATATGCTCCTGAAGCACCATATACTTCACCTGATAAACTTAAGGTAAAGTTGTGTGATTTCCTTAACTTCTTGGAATCTGGGTGTGTAACAATGCTATTTTATATTTATTTCTAAACAACTAAAAGCCAATTGCCTAGTAGATCATAGTTTTCAATTGCATATGAAACTCTGTATTGTATGTTTTATGAAGTGCATTGCAACTAATGTGAATTAAATAATAAACTGTCTTCCCTTTTCAATTTGGTAGATTTTTGCATAGTATTTAGCATATATGATATTATAAGGAGTGTAACTCAGTCCTGTACATATTGCTTTCTTTATTATCTGATTTTATTTATATGCTACTTAACAGCAAAATAGAGTGCCAAATTCCTAATATTAATTTTAAATAATGGGTGTTCAAATCCTTCCTCAGCAGGGAAACTATAAAATTAAAAATGAAAATCAGAGTTCTGCCTTTAAATTAAGCTTTAAATTAAGCTCTCATTTTTCCGGTGTTTCTGGATGTGTGCATATGTGTGTGTGTGTGAGAGAGACACACACACAGAGAGAAACATTTGATTTTTCAAAAAAGGAGAAAGCAGCCAACGAAAGTTTTAGTTCTGACTGATAATACAGCCTATTTTAAATTGATTTCCCTTTCTTTATAGAGTTTCACTAAAGTAGTAGGAAACAGAACTGGAGAGGGAACATTTATTAATAGGGAGGTAGACTGAAAAAGAAGGGAGAAGGAAGTATACTAGTAAGAGTTATTTAGCTGCAACTTAGTTTCATTTTTAAGCCATTGTTTCTTTTTGCCTCTTAACCAGGTGGGCAAGAAGAATGGATTGGTGAAAGAAACTGTAAAAAACACAAGCGTGACTAAGTGCAGATAGCACTAATTTAAATTTGCAAATATTTTTTTCCTGTTGTTAAAATTTTGAGGTTGATCAATATGAGTAAGTTCAGATATGCAAATAAATTGTAATTTAGTAAAGGAAACAGTGATTTGCCATTACATTAAGACAATGTGATTACTTTCAGGCAATTATTGTTTTCCCACAACAGTTAGGGTCTTACCAAGAGTCTAAAGAAAGTGTGCTTGATTGAAACACTTTGTTTCACCCTTCAGCCTTGATTCTCATTAGAAAAGATTTCTGCACATTCATGCATATTTATAGAATTGTAAGTATGGTTATTGGAATTGCTAGAGACCTCAGAAGCTTTTTTTTTTTTTTTTTTAGAAAAAGAGGAATAGAGAATTGATGTACAAAGGAGCTTCAAAAGAATGCTTCATATAATGTTCATCCAAATAGTGTACAATTTGTAGAATGATACTATGTGTATAGTATGATGAGTCTTTCATTTCTTATCCATATATTCATTTATCGTTCCATTTCCTTCTTAGTTCTTTCTTGTTTCTTATTCCTTTAATTCTTGCTTTCTTCTCTTGATTTATAATATTGACTTGTATGGTATGCTTGGATGAACAAGGGTTTTGAAATAAAGCCGCCTAGTGGTGGTGTTTGGAAAATGTTGATTTAAGAAATCTTCCTTGTGAATTTTGAAGAAATGTGATAATGGGAAATTTTATTATCATTTTGTTTTCTGTAGATTCATAAATACAGTGTATTTTATGCATTTTTTCCATAAACTATTCCAATTATTTTTTGGTATGTGATACAATGTCTTATTTGTCTAACAGGTTAACAGATCAGTGACTTTGATCTTTTTAGCTCTTTTTTGTTGACACTGTAAATTAGTATTTATATATAGGAATTGTAGGAATAAAATTAGTATTTATATTAGTAATAATGTTAGAATTCCTATATATTTTATTTTCCACAAAAGAAAAACAATGAATTTATACTTTGGTTACCTTTTTATTTGTTAGTACCATCAAGTAAACACCTGATCATTGCTGCTTTTTATGATTAATATTTTCATTTTATAAGTATATTATCATGTGTCTGCATATACTTTTTCAGTTATATATATTTGTTATACATTATTATTATAGAACTATTTTTGTCTGTTCATTACGCAATATTTGATGAAGATGGGGTAGAAGTCACACACCTGTATATTCTAAAAATGATTAATGAGCATAGGACTGGTTAGATGGTAACCAGTATACTATAGTAATGCTACTTTAGTAGCAATAATAATAGCTTTTGATTTTCTGAGAAATATGAATAACAAAATTAAAATATGAAATAAAAGAAATGTAACAAAAATTATATACTTAACTGATATGCATTCAAATATTTATTAAGAATATAATATAGATAAATAAAGCTGAATATAGCTGTTGGTAACAAATTGAATTTTTCAAAATTAAACCAAACGTATTAATGGATGAATCTTAAGGATAGTTGGCTATGAATTTTCTTGGCTACTGATTACTTTATCAGCTCAAGATATGTTGAAACAAATACAAATGTCTTTCATTGAATGTAACTTGGATATTTTTGGGAATTATTTGAAGAATTCCAGATATCTTAAACATGAACTAATTTAAGTGACCTGAGATTGATTCATTTGATTTTAATCATATATTCCCCCCTCTCCCCCCATAGTTGAGGGAAGAAATGAAAGCTATGGGACTCAGAAGAGGTGCTTGCTCCCAAAGTCCCTCTTAACGATTTCAAGAAACTTTTCCAAAGTAACCATTGAATCATTTTCCAAGCTAGTTTTTTGTTGACTCTCAAACAGTGCTTTTTGTTGTAGTATTGAAACATATTGCAAACAGTGCTTATATGTCCACTGTGGTTATTTATAAAACCCATGAACAATGTTATATGTTTAATATATCCAACATAAGATCATATTAAATGCCTCATGTTTATATGGTTGTTATTTGGAATACATTAATATGTGTGTGGGGGGGGGGGAGAGGAATGGCCAGGAGCTACTTTAATCAATATCTTCTGTAACAAATTTGGGAAACTCAAAAGATAATATTCTGCTAAAATAAAATCAACAAATGAGGGTGGAAATTGATGCGGCAATATCCTGAATTATGTTCCTACCATTGGATTATAAGAGGAAAAGGTTAATTAAAATATATTAAATGCTCACTAGTATAGTGACAATTTTTTCCAGTTGAGCTAAATGAACTAAATGATTATGCAGGAAGTATTTATTTTAGATACTAAAGTATTTACTTTAGATGACAAACATATACTATATTTTCTCCCCAGGATATATTTATGTTCATCACAAGACAACTGAAAGGATTAGAAGATACAAAAAGTCCACAATTCAACAGATATTTTTATTTATTAGAGGTAAATGTAAATAATTTTCATTCATATTCATCTTAGTTTGATCAAAGTTTTAGTCAAATATCTATTTTGCGTAAAATACAATAGCATTTTAAGTATATCTGAAACAGATCTGTATTTAAGGTGCAAAGTTATTCAGTACTGATTTTACCAATTCTTTATTAAATTATAGTTACTGTATCTTTTTCTCCTAAATAGAATATTGCATGGGTTAAATCTTACAACATATGCTTTGAACTAGAAGATAGCAATGAAATTTTTACGCAACTGTACAGAACATTATTTTCTGTGATCAAGTGAGTATATATTTAACAGCAATTTTGCTATGTGGTGGGACTGAAAGATTGTTTCAATTGTTAGGAGTAGGCTTAAACTGTGTAAGCGTGGAGGTGAAAAAAATTGCATTGGATGAGTAACATTTTTAACCCCACAAAATATTTTCCTTGCAATCTTGACTAAGTGGGGTTTTCTAGGTATAAGTTAAGACCTCTTCTGGCCACTAACTTAAATACAGTTGAAGTGACTATTACTAGCAGCAAGGTAGAAATAATCTTGTTAGGATTACTGATGGATTTGGAGGAGGTTATGTTATGTTGTGTTCTCAGTCAGCTTGATGTTCATTATGCTTGGGACAGATTATTGAATGTTTGGTCAGATCCCTTTTCTACCGTGTACGCGGATAAAGTGGTACCGTCTACCCCCTTTGTCGTTACTTTTCTCCTCTTACTGTTCATCCTTTGAAGAACTCCCGGTCTATTCTTAATACCAAAACGTGACAGTTTCTTTGCGAAGTAATAGGTTTAAGATTAAATTCTACCCGGTATTATTGAATGTGATACAACGACTCGACTGTGAGTTCTCATTTTAGCAATGGTCATAACCAGAAGGTTCATATGCATATGGTAGATTTGATGAGTTCTATCATTTGTGAAGGTGATACAGTATCTCAAGAACTTTTGGATACAGTTTTAGTTAATCTAGTCCCTGCACATAAGGTAAGAATTAACATTTTAATGTAAAAATATTGCAAATTGATACATAGTATATTTGACAAAATATACTTTTTATTCATGAGTTTAAAACACAGAGAGTAGATTGATTATTTGAAACGGTGAAATTAGCCAATATTTTATCCTATTTCTTAGAGAGTCTCTAAAGCAGGGGTGTCAAACTCGCAACGTCATGTGACGTGTTGCGATGTATCGCAATTTTTTTTGCCATTGCTGGCAATGGGGTGGGCGCGGCTTCACTATGATGCATCCGGCCTGTAGGCCGGCAATTTGACACCCCTTCTCTAAAGCAAGGGTGTCAAACTTGCTGTGTCATGTGACATGTTGCAACGTATCACAACTTTTTTTGCATTGCTGGAGCTGGGGTGGGCGTGGCCTCTGCATGATGCAACCAGCCTGTGGGCCGGCAGTTTGACACCCCTGCTCTAAAGCATGAAATAAAAGAATGTTATGTTGGTCTAAGTTTAATGAAGAGGATCATTATGTAAATTATATTCATACTTGCAGTCTTTTTCTTTTGCTATCAAATAGTTAATTATTTTTATTATTATTAAATTTTGCCTTACTAAATTATGAAATATATTGTCATTGTCATAGCATTAAGTGGGAGAGGAGTGAGGAGGCATGACAACAGTGAATCTGAAAACATTTTAATTAATTTTCATTGTAGGTTTTATTTTAAGCCAAGTTAATTAAAGGTGCTTACTATAATTAAAATAAGAAAAAAGTATGTGTGTGTGAAAATAACTTTGTAGAATATTGTCATTAGATATAACGAATTCTAAAATGAATGAATTCAAATGATTAGATTGTGAGATGGAAGATAAAAATTTGGTCCTAGACTATAGTAGAGGAGGAGGAGGAAGAGGAGGAGGGATAAAAATCAAACTGCATGATTGATAGTGGAATCCTGTACATCTTAATCTGATGTACATCCTGCTATCCTCTGGGGTGTGCTGAAGTAGTAGATGACATGTGAGATATGGAGCCTGAATGCTGCTGTCTTTTAAAGTTGTACACAATATTAACTTTAATGTACATATTTATTTTTATGTACTCAAACTATAGTGATTGGAATGCTTGTAGTTGTAATATATTTAACCAATGTTTCTCATCCTGTTCTTTAAAATTTTGAAAAAAGCCAATTATGTTGATTTATTTATTTGTATTGAGTATAAAATTTTTAGAATAAACCTATAATTTTATGTCAAATATACTTTTCAGAATTTAAACAAACAAGCATATGACTTGGCAAAGGCTTTACTGAAGAGAACAGCCCAGGCTATTGAACCATACATTACTAATGTAAGTGATAATTTAAAATGACCATGCAGACAAAAATGAATAAGATATCATTAGTGTTAATATACCTTTATATTGCACATTGAATAGTTTAGGACTTTCCTACAATCAAATCATAGTTGACTGTATTCTTATTTAGAACTTGCAACATTCATAAATCAAGTTAACAGCAGTTAATTACATCAGTTGTTAGATACATTGAGTATCTTATGCTATGTTTCTGTTGACTGCCTTCTATAACTGATAGTTTTGAAGCATGAAATTAGATGTTCAGTTCTTGATAATCAATATTCAATTAGTATTGAGAGCCATTTTGCTATAGTGGTTAAGGTGCTGGCCTGAAAACCAGGAGACTGAGTTCTAGGCCACCCTTTAGAGTGAAAGCCAGCTGTATGACTTTGAGCCAGTGTGCTTTCTCAGCCCAATGAAAGACATGCTGGCAAGACACAACGATAAAATGTAAAATAATAGCAATAATTAAAACGTTAATAATAGAGTACCACTGAGTTGATTGTCATCTGTTTGAATCTGCAACCAGTACATACAGTTACAATACTGTACATGATTATTTGAGAATAAACTCCACTGAACATTTTAAATTATATATGAGAAATATTCATCCAGTATATTTTTTCCACAAAAATTTTTCCCCCCCACAAAGAAAGTTATTTTCCAGCATCTGCTGGAAGATATGATCTTACAAACTGGATGATAAAAGATGTATCTAGCAGTCATCTCTATAGTTGCAGCTGAGCTTTTCCAAGTAATTTCAGTCACAAAAAGTACCAATTATTTTTCATGAAAATAAGACTAGCACACTTTACATATATACCTCTACTAGAAAACTTTCTCAATCCGTAAAAACCTCTATCTTAAAAGAGGATGAGAAAGAAGTACGTCAAACAAAACCTTAACCAGATCCTTTTGATTTCATAAAGCTTTATTATTATCTTATCTAGACACAATACGATTCACTTCATGACAGATCATGGATCAAAAAACCGTAACAGACATTACAATTTACAAAGGCTTACATGTCTTCTGAACTAAGGAAGTACTTATTTTAATAACATCAGTAATCATTTTAAGGATTGATTTTCAAAATGTAATATGTATATAAACTTTCAGCATAGATAACTGATATTCATATTCTTGATCCATCCATACAGGAATGTATTACATTTTATTTCAAATTATATCTCAATTTTGATGATCCATTAACAGCTCACATTAGGAATCTTTATACATTTATACAGTTATTTCTAGATATTTAAATGTCAGATTCTTTGATGTGAATTGTAAATTTAGTATATACAGAATACAGCTTTCTAAACATGTATATCTATTACCATTAATATTTTAATTTTCCTGTAATGAATTTAATTGCATAGACAAAGTAGATGAAAAGTTAGCTTCCAATTTAATGAATGAAGTGTTATGGGATTAAATGTGATTGTGAAAATAACAATTTTTAATAGAAAATCTTGGTTTTGTTAGAAAATTAGAATTGTTCTAAAAAATTTAAAAGGTTATGGTTTCTATCCTGCTGTTCATATTTTGATTTTTTTTCACAGTTCTTTAATCAAGTGCTTATGCTAGGAAAAACATCCATCAGTGATCTCTCAGAGCATGTTTTTGATTTAATTTTGGAGCTATATAATATTGACAGCCATCTTTTACTCTCAGTTTTGCCACAGCTTGAGTTTAAACTTAAGGTAAGTCTATTGTATCGCTGCCATTAATTGAAGATTAATGTGTAGTGGGCCTGGATGATGCACCATTTTTCAATAAGAACTTTAATTCTGCTTTAGGGAATGCCTCTCTTTTCAGTCTTTTTTCTGATGAACGTCCTTCACTATAAATTTCAAATATGTTTTAATATCTCAGTGCATGCTAATGCACTTCTCTTTTCAACTATCACTGAATAACAATACAAATAATATATTTTTAATTCTCTAATTTCCAGTGTAAGTGGCTGTCCTTCCTCAGAACTACTAGCAAACAGATATAAAAAACAAATTTATTTAAAATCCAGATCTGGTAGCTCTAACATAAATCAACAGAATGGTGCATTTCCATCACAAAGATCCCTAGAGTAGAAGGACAAAATAGTACAGGAAAGCTGTTGTAAATTTGTATTTGTTGTTGATCACATTTAATTTGCACATGGAATGATTTATTCTATGTTTATCTAATGGTACATCTGACATTGGTTTTATTTTACAGGACAATTTCTGTTCTACATGCATGTCTCTGATTTTAGTTTAGTTCTTTGCTATTTTCTTTCTTTTACTGTATGAAGAAACAGTTTTCCAAAGCTTATTTGTGTAGGTTTATATACTTTCTTAAAAAAATATTATTTTCTAGAGCAATGACAACGAGGAACGACTTCAGGTTGTAAAACTTCTTGCAAAAATGTTTGGAGCAAAAGATTCAGAGCTGGCAGGTCAGAACAAACCCCTTTGGCAATGCTACTTGGGAAGGTATGTTTTGTTTTACTTTGTTTCTCACTAAATTGTAATTTGGTCTTAACATATTATAATTATTCAACATTTAATATATTTTTAAATATTAGTATGAACTGTAAATTTAAGTATTGCCTATTGTGCTGCTTACTTTTAAGTATCCTAGAAAAGGTTTAACCTTCATTTGTATTTTCACAGACCATTATGATCAGCTTATTTATATTAGTTTTTAAACTGTAAACTTTGGGCTTCTACATTTTACTAAACTATCATGTGGTTTGCTTGGTTTTGGATAATATAATAATTAATGGAATCAGTGAAGAAATCACTGATTTTAGCATAAATCATTTGTTTTCTTTTTGCATTTGTGACTTAGTGGGCTTTGTGGTTTCCTAATTTTTTTTATGCTTTGAGGTACTGAGCATTCCTTATAAGGCACAATGCCAGAAAAAAGGAAAAGAAAGCAAGAAATGGACAAAACAAACAATGATTATTTAGTTCATTTACTGATTCCTCATTGTTACTGCCTGTTCAGGCAACTATGTTTGGTACAAAGGTGAAGCTCAGCAAAATATATAAACCTAGCAAGTGTCGTTCAATTTACTGAGTTATGTTGAATAATGTACTTCTTTATCAACAGAATTAAATAATAATAAATACAATATATGTGGGTAGATGCATAATTCTGTATTTATTTATTTATTTATTTATTTTTGTGACCCTTTGAGAGCTGTATGCAACAAAATTTCATTTTAATATATGCTGATTAGTGTACATTCAGTGTGACAATAAAGTTATTCTTTTCTATTCTAACTATCAAAACATTGTATAATTCAGTTGATATATTGCACTTCATTAATAGTATTATCCTTTCAAGATAACATTAGAAACTAACTAGTAGAATTGCAAATATGTTACAAATACATTTCATAATAAAAATAATGCAAAGAAATACACATATATATGTCTTTTCCATTATGTTTTTCTTTTGGTTAAAATGACAACGGGATTCATACCGTAGTTCACAATTTTTTAAAAAATCCAGGCTTAAAAAAAGCACAGATTTTATTATTTTATTTTGTTTTTTATTTTTACACTGTCCAACTCCCAGCAATTTTGAGTGTTTCACAAATTAAAAGCACAATAAGAGAGGAACAGAATATAGCAAAAACTCAACACCAGATAAACAGATATTAACATCAAGATTATACTAGAACAACAATCAAGAAGTAAACAATACCCCAGTCAAGGAACTATCAGTGCAGAGAAACAAGCTAATAGTAAACAACAGCCTAATCAAAGAACCACCAAGTTGACTCCCATCAACATTGACAGAGTAGGCCACTACTAGTAAGAACAAAACCCACTGCCTTCTAGCACCAATGATGTTACCTAGTTTGATAATGAAACTCTTGCAAGAAAACAACCAAGTTTAGAGAGCACAAACTGCGCAACAACAGAAAACATACTCACATTAACCCGAATAGGCTTCAACCACTCTAACTGAAGGCTTGGATGAAGAATCAGGCCTTCTAGAACACCTGTAGTCTGATGTTTTATCCATTCCTTGGATGAAAAAAAAATAAAATTCAATTAAGCAAAAGTAGTATCATAGTGAATTATGTATTCTCTTGCACATAAGAGATAATTTTTTTCTGGGTCCTTTTTTTGCAAAATTGTACCTAATCTTTGCTCAAATATACTCTATATATCATCTTTTAGTTGCGCTTTGGATGCAATATTTTTGTGAAAATTGAAATAAGACAACATGGTTATTACATTTTTTTTAAAAACAGATTTAATGATATACATGTACCTATCCGTCTTGAATGTGTGAAATTTGCCAGTCACTGCCTTATGAACCATCCGGATCTAGCGAAAGATCTAACAGGTATCAATCAATTTCAGAGTAAAGGGAATTTTTCCTTTTTCTTCTATTTTTAATTATATGACAAAACACTATACTTTTAATATATAAAAATACTTAAATATAGTGGTATCTTTGTAAAAAGTGTGCTTCAAGTCATACTATTTAGTGACCTCCCCAAGTTTTATTGCTCCCTTCGAGTCTGTCAGATGTTCAGGTTTGACATACAGTTTTAATATGAGCATGTAAGTACATTATCTCTCCATCACTGTCAATGTCTGTTGTCTGTTTGTCTACATCCATCCATCCATCCATCCATCCATCCATCCATCCATCCATCCATCCATCCATCCATCCAATAGAAGTACAATTTTATTACATAGCTCTTACACAGAGTTGTTTAAGAGTATTATTTGTTATTTTTTGAGATTAAAACATATCAGTTTATGACATAATATACTTAGCCCTTTAAGTACAAAACCTAATACAATAAAATTAATTAATTAATTAATTAATTAAATGAAAAACAAACTCAGTGGGCAGACTTGATGGACCACTAGGTCTTTTTCTGCTGCCAGTTTTCTATGTTTCTAATAATCCAATTAATATGTATTAGGGAATATGACATCATTACTTTATAAATATACATGCATTTGCAAACAAAAAAAAATGTTGTAAATTTCTTCATTAAAAAATAAACTAATTAATTCTCTGTCTTCAGTTCAGTTATTCTATCCAGTCAAATTACAGTGAAAGTGTATATAGATAGTCCTTGGTTAACGATGGTAATTGGGACTGGCAACGGTCACTAAGTGATGTGGTTATAAAAAACAATGTTATGTGACCACGCTGACTTACGATGGCAGTTCCAATTGCAATCACTATGTGAATCCTGTGGACGTTAAGCCCAATGTCATGTGATCACCATCTCCTGCCAGATTCTCCTTTGACTTTGCTTGTGATCTTCAAATAGTGATCATGCAACTGCAGAATACTGTAACTGTTGTAATTGCAAGTTGTTGCCAAGCACCCAAATCATGATCATGTAACTGTGGAGATGCTGCAGCAACTGCAACTTTGAGGGCAGGCTGTAAGTGTCCAGAGCAGTCATAACTTCAGACAGTTGCTGGATGAATGGTCATTAACCAAGGACTAGCTGTAAAACAATTAAAATGTAGAACTAAATTTAAATACAATTAATGACACAAACAGATGTTTAATTAGATGCAGTTTTAGTTCATATTTCGATTCTCTTGAAAAGCATTATTTTAGCAAAATAAATAGTGCTGTGACAAACTATTTTGTGCAAGAAAGAAAAATAATGTAATATTCAAATGATATTTTAAGACAGAAATAGATTGTTTCTGCCTAACAATGTTTAACAGAGAAACATATATGGAATACTATATTCCTTTGAATCACAGAAACATAATCTGTTAGCATAAATTATCTTTGTCAATGTCATATCTAAATAAGATGCTGATACTACATTGAGACATATAACCATGATACCCTCCTGTACTTTGAAATCTTAGGTTCTGCAAATACAAATACAGATGTTTCAAATTTCTGGTGTGGGAGAATTAAATCTTAATCAATAATAAGCAGAGTTTTCCCTGTTTGAAAAATGTAATAGGACAGGAATGTGTTTGTGTGTGTGTGTGTGTTCCTTGTATAGAGATCATAATATCACCATGATACATTTTTTAAAATCCCATGAAAAAACTTTTCTTAAGCTATAAATTATGGAGCTATAAATCTAAACATTTATCAGAGAGAGGAGAAAGAAAAGTTTAATATAGTGCTTTGCTTTATTAGTTTTCTTTGTGATGGAAATTACCATGCAACACGAATCCTTTAATAGGTCCTTGTTCTTATAAACTGTTAGGGAGAGAATGAAAATTCCTTCCAAGTGGCTTAATTTATTTTTCCCATTAGTGACATTGTTATTCATAATAATTCAATAACTAAGTTTGATTTTACTTAGAGGAAAAAGAAAATGGCTATGATGGCATATTTTATAATATATGACTCTGTTTTTAGAATAATTATCTTCATAAGTGTATATTGCAAGTATTCAACTTAATGATATAACATTTCAATTAAAGTGTATTTTATGTACAATATATATATTATGTATTATGTACAGAATATCTTAAAGTGAGATCTCATGACCCTGAAGAAGCTATTAGGCATGATGTTATTGTATCAATAGTTACTGCTGCTAAGAAAGATCTCCTACTTGTGAATGATCATCTGCTTAATTTTGTGAGAGAACGAACACTTGACAAACGGGTATGTTGGTTAATTACAGACTGCTAATCAGTTCATTAAATTTGGTTTTTAAAAATCCTTTATTGTTAACACCTTCAATAGCATGTTCATATACTCTCATTATCTACTCTGCATGGATACTTTTTGTAGTCAGTCCTCGTCTTATGATCACAGTTGAGCCCAAAATTTCTGTTGATAAGCAAGACAATTGTGAGTTTTGCTCCATTTTACACCTTTCTTGTCACAGAAAGTGAATCACTGCAGTTGCTAAATTAATAACATGGTTGTTAAGTGAATCTGGCTTCCCCATTGACTTTGCTTGTCAGAAGGACACAAAAGGCAATCACATGACCCTGGAATACTGGAACTGTCATAAATCCATGCCAGTTGTCAAGCATCCAAATTTTGATCACATGACTAGAATGTGTGAAAAACAGTCATAAGTCACTTTTTTCAGTGACATTGTATCTTCAAAAGGGCCTTCTGTTCATGAATCTTTACAATTATATCCTTCACCATATATAGCAAGTAGCGAGATATTATTTTATATGTATAAGTCTTGTTTGAATTGACATTGACTATGTTGTATTATTAACTGTGTATCACTTTTAAAGTTGTGATTTATACATTCTATTAGAGCAGACATGTCAAACTCGCGATGTCACGTGACGTCGCACAGCGTATTGGGAGAGTTTTGCCATTGCCGGCAATGGAGTGGGTGCAGCTTCCGCATGACACCCCTATCTTAGAGCATCAATAGTAAAAGTTATCACCTTTTTTTTTTTACTCTTACCATACTGTTGCATTTCCTGTAAATAAGTTTTCTGAAACCCCTGCTATGGTAAATTTGAAAATAATTGTTTACCAAAGGTGTGCAAAAAAGTTCAAAACAGATGCTCTGACCTTGAAATGAACAATTCTGAGTGAATGAACTTTGAAACTGTCCATTTTGCATGGTTCTTTTTATGCATATGGTAAAAATATTGCTGTATGTTTTCAATGTTTATAGTAGCCTGCTTAAAAATGTTCGGAGGCTCTCATTATGTATTATTATTTTAGTGGAGGGTGAGAAAAGAAGCTATGATGGGACTTGCACAGATATACAAGAAATATTCTTTACAGTCAGAAGCTGGAAAAGAAGCTGCTAAACAAATTGCTTGGATTAAGGACAAATTGTTGCATATATATTACCAGAACAGTATTGATGATCGGTAAGTTATCTTCAGTTTTTTAAATTAAAAAGACACTTCTGTCCTAAAGTTTACTTTTGGAATAATAATGACAACAACAACAAAAAGGAAAAAGTGAGACATAATGCAAGAAAAAATATACTAGTGAAATTGTTCAGGTCATTTAATTCATACAGATTTCATTTATTTTTGAACAACATTCTGAAAATTGCATGATTGCCTATTTTAGAACTCTTTATTGAAGTAAATGTCTGGACTCATGACATGTTATTAGATATTATAATGCTGTTTTAAATCTATGTACAATCTTTTTTTTAAATCCGTAATCTGAACTATACCGTGGAATTCTTAAGGTTTCCAACTGTATGAACTAGATTGTCCAACCTCTGAGCTTGTGTGCTATAATATCAGGGTTATATTAACTTTTCCCCCCATTGCGTTTGAAGGAACTCTATAATTTATTGACTGTTGTTGAAATAATTTTAAAATAAGTCAGAATTTGAAATTCAATAAAATCATTATTTGACAATGACTTGTTCTTTTTAACTATAGCTTTAAAAAAAGCAATTTATTCACTCCTAAAATCTTTGAGAAGTATAGCTAATTTAGAAAAGTAAATTTTTGATTTAGTTATTGAGTGAAAGTAGGGGGAAAATGAGGGCTCATGAGGCATTAGGACTAGAGTCCTATTGTAGGAACATAATAACCATTGGTCACTGGTATCCTCTGCTTTTATCCAATCCCTTTCTCATGCTATTCAAATTGATAATTGCTATAACTTGTACAAGCAAATTCTATAAGTTAATGCAATTTCCCTTATGCCTGAACTAGGTACCGAACTATACTGGATTACTGTAGCTATGATATGTGTTTATAACAAAGCTTATGGAAATTAAAATTCATTCATTCATTTTAAATAACGTACGTTTATTCAATCACTCTATATCGACGAGGTCAAAACATTTAAAACTAATAGAAGAAATATCTTCTCACTTATATTAAGTTAATTCAGAATTAACTTAGTATAAGTAAGAAGATATTTCTTTTACGAACTAGTTTAACTAAAATAAATAAATTAAATAACCGACGGGTATCCCATTAAGACCCACCGAATACAGAAGGAAGGGGCTGAGTGGGGAGAGGTGGGATCTTTATTGATCAAACACCTCCATTGTGCTGTTCCCCCACTACAGTTGATCATGGCCTATGTTTTGATCTTAATATTAATTTTGATATTTTTCTGAAACTTGTTATTGGTAATTTCTTTTTAGATTGCTGGTAGAACGCATCTTTGCTCAGTATATGGTTCCACATAATTTGGAAACAAATGAAAGAATGAAGTGCTTATACTACCTTTACGCAACACTTGATTCTAATGCTGTTAAGTATGTATCCAATAACAAATATGGAGCTATGGAATATTTTCATTGCAAATGTAATTGATAATTTTGATTAAGAGGAATATAGGTTAAAGTCAGTTAATTTTATAAAGGTGCTTATTTTGTTTTTCATAAAACAAATATTTTCTATTTGGAACTAATTTTTTAGTTCTTATTAGTAAATAAAATGCCTTGTTAAAAGTATGATACATCCTCATCCTGCACTTACCTTTCTGCAGTTTTAAAACATCTCTTTCCACCTCTTTAATTTTCTATTCAACCTTACTAGTTTTATATATAGATTTGTAAGGAGGCAGATGGTAGAGAACTGTGATAGATGGAAAATCTGTTTTTGCCAATGGGATATGTTGCAACAATGAACACATATACTTGCATATAGCCCCTTCTTCATTTCAACTTAATTCTCTTATGTAATTAAAACAGGAGCCATTCATTATTTTTTAATCTGTAATTCAAATATTGTGTGTGCTTTCTTTAATGGATTATAATTCTAAAGATGGAGATATATCCACACAAGCGCCTTATAGGTAGTCCTCAGATAGGCACCACATTGTTCCAAAACCTTCAGTTGGTTCTAGGTATCATATTTGCCTCTAAGTAAAAAAAAACAAACCCTAAAGCTATGAATTATTTTTCTTGTCTAATTAAATTTATAAGCCCCAAAAGATGATAATATTTATTATTTGACAGTAGAATCCTCTGACCTGATAATACTTGTCGTCAGGGCTTTTTTTCAGCCGGAACGCGGCGGAACCGCGTTCCGGCACCTTTTTCCGGGCCGGCCGCACCGGAAATAGCCCCTCCCAAATTTTACTTGCATTCCTGTTCTCTAAAGGGGCGGTCCTAGGGTTTGATGAGGGCGTGGCCAGGTTTGAGTTCCGCCACCTTTTCTCCGAGAAAAAAAGCCCTGCTTGTCGTACATGGTTTTGTATCACTAGCTACACTATTATGGGAGCATCAATTCAACATATGTTGAACCTACCAGACAACTTTTAAAAAGGGTTTGATAGTGAATGAATTAGAGACTAGTATCTGTAGTACATGTAGTCCTCAAGTTATGCTAAGAACTTGGACTGGAATTTCCATCGCTATGCAATCTAGTTGTAAAGCGTGATGTCATGTGACTACATTGCTTAGCAACAACAATCCTGGCAGTTTCTATTGTTGTCATTAACTGAATATCATTATTAGGTGATCTCTGCCACTTTCGCTGCCTGCTCAGTGGTACTCCATGGTGGTGGCAGCACCATGACCTTCAGAAGCCCATGACCTTCAGAAGTTTCAGTCAGCTATCACCAACTCCGGGCCTCTTCTTCAGCCCTACTGCCACCACCAAGGAGTGCCACAGCACCTAAATTTTGATCATGGGACTGTGGGGTTGTTGCAACAGCCATAACTTTGGGGATTGGGCATAAGCACCATTTGTCTAACACCACTGTAACTTCAAACAGTCACTGAATGAATGCTTAAGTGAGGATTATTTGTATTTCTTACAAAGAGCCATGCAACAGGAAAGATTTGGTTCCATAATCGTCTAAATTGCTTTTTAGGACTTTCTCACTTACCGAATTTATAAGGTCTAGTCCAGGGGTAGGCAACCTTGGCTCTTTTATGACTCGTGGACTTCAACTCCCAGAATTCCTGAGCCAGCCATGTTGCCTACCCCTGGTCTAGTCAGTTGCAAAGATGATTGTTACATCACTTATTTTTTGCTTTGTTATTTTTATGATTAGGGCACTGAATGAAATGTGGAAATGTCAAAATTTACTGAGGCATCAAGTAAAAGATTTGGTTGATTTAATCAAGCAGACAAAGGTAAGCTCATTTCCTTCTGAAATTTTATATGTAACTCATTTCCTTCTGTAAATTTTATATGTTATATGTGACTTCAGCTTGAATTTTGTTTCACTGATGGAATACTTTCTGGATTTCTTTTTAAAATGATAATATGAAAGCGAAACCTTGCTATATGCCAATGTTTTCTATCCTAAATACTTGAAATATTTTTAGTGTACTTAATTTTGTTGGAAACTGTTTTAAGCCTATTTTATTTTATTGACTTACTTAGTTTAATATCCTGTTTTTCCATCCTCAAGGCAGTCTGTAGGTGAATAAATAAACAGGTAAAAATCCAGGCAGCAACTTGCAACCAAAGTCTCTTTGACGTCCTTGCCCTGAAAATTACATAGAAAGATGTAAAGCAAAACATCTATCTCCAATGTTATATCTACCTTCAGCAATGACTTTCATACCAATATAAGATCCACTGCAGTAGCAAGAGCAGCCTAGGGAATAATTACTTTCTGATAAAGGATATTCTCTCCATGGAAGCCATTTTGTGAATAAATAAGGCTTCTATCGCAGACATTTTGTAAGCATGCCAAAGTTGTGCTATAAAATAAAGAGATACTTCATAATAGGGCATGCACAGTTAGGGAATTGCAAACTTTTTCCCAATACATTTATGTTTCAATGAATATTGAAGTGTTCCATTTTTCTTTCGCTTGGTATAGCCTGATCTTTGAAATACTCTGTCTTAAGAATTATTTTCAAATAGTAAACCTATATTTAAAAAACCTTTTATATAGGACCAAGAAGATAGAGATTCAAATTCTCAATAAGATGGGTTTTTGTACACTCCAGCCTTCAGTTGCTTGTCTCTCATGTGTAAAGGGCTGGAAATAATGCCAGCTTAAGAAAACCTGTACCAGTTTTCAAGCTTTCTCTCTGCTTCAACCACAGTGATAACTAAACCTAACCAGATATTCTGCTAGACTGTCATTTCCCTTCCCACTCATGGCAGGGAAACCTGGTGCCTAAACTACTAGACAGAACATATCAAAAGAAAGCAGATATTGGCTTAGCCAACATACACATTTTATTTTTTTTATGAGAGTACCCCCTTTCTTCCTTCACATCTAGTTGGACTGTTGTTACTACAACTTCCATCTGATTTCCATTTTGCCACTAAAAAATCAGAAGGATACCTTTAAAGTCCATAAAAAACTATCTATGAAGAAGTATTGCATTCTCTAATTTTCTTAGAGAACAATGTTAAAATATGCTAAAGCATTTGGGGCAAGAACTGTTATTTTAATGCATTGGAGCAACTGGTGGTAAGGATATTTGATGAGCGGTGAAGTTTAGAGCCACTTCAGATATATTGATTGTTGGTGAATATTTAATAATAATAAAGTTGGAAGGGACCTTGGAGGTCATCTAGTCCAACCCCTGCTCAGGCAGGAAATCCTATACCATTTCAAACAAATGGCTGTCCAGTCTCTTCTTAAAAACTTCCAGTGTTGGAGCATTCACAGCTTTTGGAGGCAGGTTGTTCCACTGATTAATTGTTCTAACTGTCAGGAAATTTCTCCTTAGTTCTAGGTTGCTTCTTTCTTTGGTTAGTTTCCATCCATTGCTTCTTGTCCTGCCTTCAGGTGTTTTGGAGAATAGCTTGACTTCCTCTTCTTTGTGGCAACCCCTGAGATATTGGAACACTGCTATCATGTCCCCCCTCGTCCTTCTCTTCATTAAACTAGACCAGGGGTCGGCAACCTTAAACACTCAAAGAGCCACTTGGACCTGTTTCCCACAGAAAAAAAAACACTGGGAGCCGCAAATCTCGTGTGTGCATGCGCGCGCACCAGAGGAAGGGACTTGATTGAAGAGTTTAATTAAAAAGAAATAGAGGCTGCTTTGCATGAGTTCTCTTTCTCTCTTCCTCCCTCCCTCTCTCTCTCTCCCCCTCTCTTTCTCTTCCTCCCCCCCTCTCTCCGATCTTTTGCTCACCTGGCCAGCTGGCCTGATGCTGTTCTCCGACAAGCTGACACACACTCTTATTGGGATGGCTCTCTCCTGCCCTTGGTCTGCCAGTTCTCTTCCCCCACTAAGTGTGAGAGCATGTGTGTGTGTGTGTGTGTGTGTGTGAGAGAGAGAGAGAGCTGCTGCTTTCTGCTTCCTGCGGAGACACAGCAAAAGCAGGAGCCCTGCCCAATAAGCTTGTCAGCTTGTTGGAGAACAGCGTGAGGCCATTCTCTTTTTTACATACACACACAGAGAGAAAGGGAGGGAAGCGCAAGTGCCTCTCTCTGTCTCTCTCTCTCTCTCTCTGCAAATGGTGGAGGAGGACTGGGAGCCGCAGGAGAAGGCTCAAAGGGCCACATGCAGCTCCAGAGCTGCGGTTTGCCGACCCGTGAACTAGACATACCCAATTCCAGCAACCATTCCTTATATGTTTTAGCCTCCAGCCCCCTAATCATCTTTGTTGCTCTTCTCTGTACTCTTTCTAGAGTCTCAACATATTTTTTACATCGTGGTGACCAAAACTAGATGCAGTATTCCAAGTGTGGCATTACCAAGGCATTATAAAGTGGTATTAACACTTCACATGATTTTGATTCTATCCTTCTGTTGTTGTTTTTTTACAACAAGTTTTATTGGTTTTTTCTTTTTACAAACAAGTGCTTAGGAAACAACGTGATGACAGGGTAATCAATTATCCAAGAGCAAAATCATACACATGTAATTCAAATTAGATCATTAAAAACTCCCTCTCTATTCCCTCAAATAATATATTATATTCAAATTAATGTATTTCAATATGGTTAAGTCAATCAAAACAATCATCAATAACATTTCATCTATATGAATCCAAATCCTGTATTAAGCTTTACTATTTTCAATTACCATATTCTGTTTCGCTACAATAAAAATGTTATTAACACTTCAGGTGTCTCTCCATTCCCTTTTTCCTTAACATAGTCAGTAATCATTTATTAATATCATTTCTTCTTTTTTCAAAAATCCCTCTTATTCTTCTTTCATTACCAAATAACTATCCTTTCTAACAACAAAAATATTATTCCAAAAAATACATTTCTACTCTATTTTTTAAATCTATAATCTATCAATCAATATCTATATCAAACTCCTTTAACCCCCACCCAAAATTGCTATATCCACAACAAACATGTTAATACACAAACAAACATCTTCTTACTAAATTCAAATATTTAGTTAATCTTTATTCAATCTAACGTCTTATTCACCCATCTTAAACCATGACTCAATCCGTATCTAGAAAGCCTTTTAAACCCGTTATGTAGAGTTTTGGATCACACTCTTAAATCTTATTCTAGCTTTTTTTTAATGCCAAGTAGGTTTCCATAACAGAGCCTCAATATCAACAAATAAGTCTCTCTTTGTGCCTTATAGTATCATTTGGGTCAAGAAAGAGCGTCCCCTCCTCTGTTTTGGAGACCTGACTCCTTTGTAGATAGTACCTTGTTGTTTTAGAGATTCAAATCTCGACATTTGGATCTGTTGAATAGAACACTCAATTATATCCAATTTTGTAATTAGTAGATGATTATCCAAGTTATTATGGTTCTCAGTTGTATTTGTATATCCATTTCTGTTGATTTTAAGATTGTAAGTGATTTAATTACAGTCATTTTTTGTTCATCAGAAATCTCATTAGGTTGTGTATAAAATGAAGTAGAATCTTCTTTAATGTTGATTGGTTCCGCTTCTGTTGTTTTTTGGTCTGTAGAATGTTCATATAAGATCTGGAGGTCAGTTTGTAGGTTCAAAGTAAAATTTCTGTTTTTTTATTTCTGTAGTACTCTCTTTTATTTGTAGATGTATTTGCTCAGTGGCTTCATAAATTTTTTCCAATATAAGTTTACAGTCAAGTTGTGAATAGGGTTTCTCCATTTCGATAGTGATTAGAAACAGTCCTGTTATCTTTTAGTGGTGGCTGTATTCAAAAAACATTTAACCAGTGTCCACCCCCACAAATACAGCTGTTGAATTTTTTTGTCTTTTCCCTTTTATGATGATCTGAAGGTCAAGCCAGTCTCAACATCAATCAGGGAAAAAAGACAGTTACAATTTTAACTTTCTCCACAAGGTGTCCTCAGTAGACTGTGAAATCTCTTCCCAGACATCAAAAATAACGTTAATAAGATCAGAAAAAAAATATATTCTTCACATGTAAACTAAATTCAGTAATAAGTTCAATAATACAAATTTTTTCAAGACCCCAAAGTAGATGGAAAAGTAAAGAATAGCCAATTAAAGTTAATTTTCAGTCCATTTAAGCTTCTTTTCCCACACTCACAAACACCACTTTCTTAAAGCAGGGAAATAGTTCCAAAAATGCTTTTTACAGGAAGCAAAAAAGAAAAGAAGACTAAGAGAGGGAAAAAAAATCTCACCCGGATCAAGCATGGTGGTTCTTGCGCTTAGATGTTCTTCTGACTTCTGGTTACACCAGCAAAGTGATCTGCCATTTTACTGGCTGATCTTTCCTCCGTCGGCCCTAAGGAGCATTCTCGGACTGCGGAAGGAGCTGCCGCCCTTCCACAGTCGAAGAGGGCCTCCTCAACGGTAGTCGCCCCTGCAGGGTGACTTTTCGACCCGATTAAGGGTCTACCGACAGAGAGAAAGCAGCTGGCGAAGAGAGCAGTCTCTCTGCACGACTGCAGATGCCGCGATCCGGAACCGGAAGTCTTGATTCTAGCCCTCTGGTAATGCAGCCTAGCACTGTGTTGGCTTTTTTGGCAACTGCAGCACACTGCTGGCTCATATTTAAGTGATTGTCCACTAGGACTCCGAGATCCCTTTCACAGTTACTACTATTGAGCAAGGAACCACCTATACTATACCTGTGCATTTGGTTTTTCTTGCCTAAATGTAGAACCTTACTTTTTTCACCATTGAATTTCATTTTGTTAGATAGTGCCCAGTGTTCATGTCTGTCCAGATCCTCCTGTATCTTAAGCCTGTCTTCTGGAGTGTTGGCTATTCCTGCC